ATAAATCAAGATCGGCAGCAAGGTGGAGAATACTGGACATTATATCCAAAACTGAGAAAAGATGAAATATAATTCAGAATGAGCACAAAATGTTTCGATTATATATTAGAACTGATAAAAAATTATATACAGAAACAACACACCAATTGGAGAGAACCAATAGGGCCAGAAGAACGATTAGTAGTCACTCTAAGGTAAGTACTTAGCTGTGATAGAGAATACAAAATAAAATAACTTTATTCAATTTTTATTTTCAACTGAAACTGATACTACTTATATTAAATAACAAACTCAATTACAGTTAGGAATCTACCAATACTAGTACAAGTACCTACAAACTAAAAATATACTTTTTTGATGACAGCTACTCTTATAATATTTAAATATTTAGGACTTCTTTCCAAAATTTTCATAGCATTTCCTATTTGTATTACTATCAATAAGTCGAAGTATGTTATGGCTTGGATCAATAAAATTCGTTCTTTGGTCTTCTCGAAAAGTATGAGTGTTTGATGACAGAGTGTGTGATGGTTGCATATATAATGGTGGCAGCGATAGAGTGTTTGATGAGTCAACATATTCAAAAACTGGAGGAGGCGAAGATACAACATAAACTGAGTCGTTTGTATCTGAACCAGCACTGCTAGCAAGTAGTTGTACTATCATCACAATATTATTATCTTTATACTGTTCAGCATCCGATCTACACTGCATTTCATCAGATTCTTCAAGTTCTGTCTTCAGAACTATCTTGGCGATTTCGAAATTCACTGTGGCTTGACGACGATTAGTCATTGTCTTTAATTTCTTTGCGTAGGATTTGAAAATTAAATCTGTATCATCATCTTTTTCTGCGTTCTTACTCATATAATTAATTACTTTATCTACTTGTGACTGACTTTGATCAGGATTGCGTTTGTGTCGACTATGCACATGCTGAGGTGTATTATCCTGTTGAGACTGAGATGAATCATATATGGCTGTGATTGAGCTGTATCGATCGGTGAAGATGTGTTTGCCGATTGAGAAGAGCCAGTTTCTTGGGCATTCCTATTTATATTTGAATGTGTTTCAGCAAATTCCAAATGTGGACGTAAAAAAGTCATTCGTGTCGCCCACGGCCACGTTTTATATCGGTCAGTAAGCTTTGCCGCTTGTCCTGTGCTTGTTTTACAAGATCTCAGATGCTTACTGTAAGCATCTCTTAAGTTCTTCTATTGTTTTTTAAAGTATCTCCTGTAAAATAAATAAATATTTGTTACAGATATCTTACAACCGGAGAAAGCTTTGGCACCACTGGTCACATCATATCGGTTTCTCTACTGGTAGCGTCATTATTGAAGAAGTATGTGAAGCTATATGGAAACGTTTGCAACCAATTTACATACGTGAACCAACTCTAGAAGATTGGGAAGTCTCTATATCTGGATTTCATGAGAAATGGCAATTCCCGAACTGCTGTGGAAGTATTGATGGAAAACATGTTACTGTTAAATGTCCAGATAAAACTGGATCAAATTATTTTTCTTACTTAAGAAAATTTTCTTTTGTTTTATTAGTAATAGTTGGCCCCGATTACAAATTCATTTCCATCGATGTAGGCGGATACGGAAAAAATAGTGATGGGGGTATTTTTGAAGAATCTATAATGGGAAGAAAGCTTGCTGATGGTACATTTAATATACCTGGTAGTAGACCACTAAACGGCCAAAATATAAGGTCACCGTGTGTTCTGATCGGAGGCATTTGCGTTGAGCTCTTACATGATGCGACCATATCCCGAAGCACAGGCACGCTATGACCGAAGGAAGGAAAAATTCAACTCTATTTTAGGAAGTGCCAGGCGCGTGGTTGAAAATGCCTTCGGTATATTAAGCTCTAAATGATATATTTTCCATAGGCTGATGGAAACAAAAGTAACTACGTCAATAACCGTCGTGAAAGCAGCATGTGTATTGCACAACTTCTTGATAGAAAGAAAGGCTGAACATATCAATAATCCCATTGAGGAACAGTTTGAACACGCATTCGAAGATTTTTCACTAAACAACAGAAGATCGTCAAACTATGCATTTTTGATACGCGAACAATTTGCTGATTACTTCAATACTTATGCATAAACACCATATTATCCCATGTAATCTAAAAAAATAAACTTTTAATTTGAACTAAATTTTTACTCACCATCGCTTTCGCCAAGTATTGCAGCAATATTATCCCATATTTTGTTTTTAATTCTAATATTTTTAAAATCACGATGTGAATTGTCATAAAGTACTGGATAATTTTGCACTATTTCTATTAAAATTTCCGTATTTAGCACCGCCATTTTTCACGCGGTACACGCGGCCTGTTGTAAAAATTTGCAACTGGCCGCCGATAGACCGCGCGCACGCTCACACATACGTGGTCAGGGCTCCGTCATTCTTTTTTTTGAAAAGTATATGCTGTTGGCCCTGCAGCCTTTTTTTATAGGATAAGTGTGACAAACGAGCACACAGTCCACCTGATGGTAAGTGGTTACTGTGGTCATAGACATCTACATCTACGTGAAGATGCGTTGTCACCCGAGAGGACTAAGATGGAATGCGTCGTTTCCAGTAAAAAGGGTATCCAGTTCTCTACACTCACCATACGAAACACAGCAGCATTGAGCTGCTATTTTACGCTGGTATTCGGTGAGAGCGTGGTCCTTCCCCGGTCAAGCCGACCCATTCGTACCACAACTATACCAGTAATATAGCTGCAGCATGACTCTACTACGTGCAAATGCACGTGCTTTTTCAGCTTCGTCGTAATGTTATTTCTATTCTTTTATTTATTATATCATCTTTGTACAATCTTAGCACGTTCGCTCGATGCCGCAGCCATTTGAAGGTTACAAAGGTGTGAAAAGCATCCCCAAATCCTCGTTATTATTAAAATTTTGTAGGCTATTATAGTGCAGGTAATTTTGCTTTTGTATGGGAGAATTGTATCTGTTACATAGTAACATTTTTTTTATAAAACGTAACCTCCACACTAGGATTTTCTGCTGTATCGTGGGGGCAATTTACATACATAAATTTCACAAGAACAAACATCCAGACACGGAACAATTATTTGTGGGCCATACAAATAGTTTTTCCGTGCGGGATTCGAACCCGCGGCCCCCAGCGTTGCAACTCATTACTAAGCAAATGGGCCAAGGAGCCTTCAACAACTAGCTTTATTTAATCTGTGACACGGTGGCGGGCGGGGCATGCGGCCGCGGTCAGCCGCGCGCAAGCCGCGACAAGACCGCACGTGTTTGTAGACTCACATAAATTGCAAGCGAATACAACTGGCCGCCACCGCAAGCCGCTTCTGTGTGCGAGACGCTTTAAGCGTCTCCCACACAAAAGCGGCTTGCGGTGGCGGTCAATTGTATTCGCTTGCAATGTAAGAGAGTTTTCAAACCCGTGCGGCCCGGCAGGCCGCGGCCGCATACGCGCCGCAGCGCGGTAATTTGTAATTTTTTACAACAGGCCGCGTGTAACGCGTGCATAATGGCGCTAAACACAGAGATTTTAATAGAAATAGTGTAAAATTATCCAGTACTTTGTGATAGTTCACACCTTGATTACAAAAGTATTAGAATTAAAAACAAAATATGGGATAATATTTCTGAATGTAATAAGAATAAATAGTCATCGTCACGGTTAGCCCTGTTGACTGACGTCCGATCGTAGCACAGACACATCAGCAAATGGAGCTTCAGACCACAGAGTACATTGTATACTTCAGACCGCCACTGCGACCGCGGTAGTGTGTAGTTGCAACGGCCGGAGCCGCGGCTCGCGGTTAGCCGCAACCGCAAGCCGCTTGTGTGTAGAGGGGGGGGGGGGGGGGGTATTTTGCATTCGACATTTAACAAATTTGGTTTTATTACCTTTTCACTTAATATTGCATTTTATGCATTTTTGACGATGGTGCAATTATACTCAAGAAAGGTGCACTTTTATTATAATGGAAAAAGTATCCAATTCTAATTATTTGAAGTAATATCGACGTTAATAGGTGAGCGATCTTTAACTATTTTTTTCTATTTCTAAACTACATGGGTGCAGTTAATATAGTTAATATTTTTGAGATGTGCTATTTGAACTAAGTCTGTCAGTATTTTTTATATATACCTAGTCAGGTCATAAGTATTGTCACACAGTAAAAACTTTTCTTTTAGAATGCTGGCCACAAAAAAGTTTATTGAATTCGAATTTCGAATTGTTCATGAAAATAAAACTGTATACTGTTTAGAATTTTACTCATTTTTAAATATGGAGTGGACGCTTAAAGAAGACCGTGTTGCAGTTATTGCGTTGCATTGTTGCGGTTACGCGCCAATTCAAATTTTTGACATACTGAAAAATTTTAATATAACCAAAAGATTCGTTTATCGTACCATCAAACGATACAATGGAAACTCTAGTGTAGATGACAGGTCAAGAAGTGGTCGCCCTCGGTCTGTTAGGACTCCAGCAGTGATAAAAGCTGTGAAGGCGCGAATTCAGAGAAATCCCAAACGTAAGCAGAAACTGTTGGCCCTTCAGATGGGGTTAAGCAGAACCACGGTGAAAAGGGTGTTAAATGAAGACTTAGGGCTTCGGGCATATCGAAGAAAAACAGGACATCGTTTGAATGCTCGTCTAATGGACCTGAGACTGAAGAGATCCCGCGCTTTGTTGAAGCGGTACGCGGGAAAAAAATATCGTGAAATTCTTTTTTCGGATGAAAAAATTTTTACCGTAGAAGAGAGCTACAACAAACAAAATGGTAAGATGTACGCACACAGTAGTGAAGAAGCGAGCAACCGTATTCCGCGTGTCCAACGAGGTCTTTTTCCATCCTCGCTCATGGTATGGTTAGGAGTTTCTTATTGGGGCTTAACAGAGGTACATTTTTGTGAGAAAGGTGTAAAAACGAATTCAGTTGTGTATCAAAATACAGTCCTGACGAACCTTGTGGAACCTGTTTCTCATACCATGTTCAATAACAGGCACTGGGTATTCCGACAAGATTCGGCGCCAGCTCAAAGAGCGAAGAGCACACAAGACTGGCTGGCGGCGCGTGAAATCGACTTCATCCGGCACGAAGACTGGCTCTCCTCCAGTCCAGATTTGAATCCGTTAGATTACAAGATATGGCAACACTTGGAGGAAAAGGCGTGCTCAAAGCTTCATCTCAATTTGGAGTCACTCAAGACATCCTTGATTATGGCAGCCACCGATATTGACATGGACCTCGTTCGTGCTGCGATAGACGACTGGACTCGCAGATTGTAGGCCTGTATTCAAAATCACGGAGGTCATTTTGAATAAACTTTAGTGTCATAACAATCTATCTTTTGTTAAGTTTATTTTGGTATATAAATGGTTACATAATGAATAAACTTGTTTCAATTATTTTATATTAAACATGTGACAGAATTTATGAGCTGACTAGGTATATACTCCAAATTCGTAGGCTGGGGTAGAGGGGGTCGTCCAACTTCGATCAACTTCGCGAGCAAGGAACATATTGCTCTCTGACGAGAATTCGCGAGTAGTGTAGAGGGGATTCTTCCTGACTGGCGGGAGTAAAACGCGTATTTTTAAATTAAAATTACCAAAGTCTAATTTTAACTTCAACTTCTGAAGCAAAATTCACCAATTTTTATATGAAATAAAGAGAAATACCGTCTGATAGTGACGGCATGGATAAAGACATGGATCACGACGCGGGTGGGAAAAGGAAACCACCAAAGCGTAACGAAGACCTACAGCAGGAAAATAAAGATTTTTATAAGCCACATTACAAGTGAAATTATAAAAGAGTTTTCCCTGAGTCAATCGGAATGCCTGAATATAGGGGTTTTATTGAGAGTCATAAAGAAAGAGTTAAACTACGCAATACGAATCCCTTAATGTTGGCGGGAATTTTCAAAAACGAAATCAAAGGAGTCACTAATCTAAGAAGAATAAACGCTTCTAAAGTAGGGGTGGTGTTTGCGGGGCTATTAACGCCAATGACTTTTTGAAAAATGAAAGCTTCTTAGAGAAGTATGATTACAATTACAAGGCATTTATACGATCAAGGGCGTTGGAAACAATCGGTGTACTCAGGTATGTTCCCATCAGCATAAGTAATAAAGATCTGTTTAAAAAACTAATATCGAAATACGTTGCAAAGCGTCGTATATATATATATAAACACTCACGCCTGTCACCCAGAGGGGTAGGCAGAGACTACGGACTTCCATTTGGCGCGATCCTGACACACCTCTCTCGCCTCTTTTACATCCATATATCTACGCATACACGCTCGTCGGTTAAGGGTACTCCTAATCTGGGCCATTTTTAATGTATCGCCGATTTGATCGATAAACCTTCATCTAGGGCGTCCCTTCCCGACCCTGCCGTTCACTTCTGCAACATAAATTTGCTTTGTCACTCTTTCCTCGTTCATTCTTTCTACATGACCAAACCACCGAAGCATTCCTTTCTTAATCCTTGTCACAACGTCATCTTGCAAACCACACTTTTGTCTTATCACACTATTTCTCACCCTGTCATTCAGATTCAGCCCTAGCATACTCCTTAAGGACCGTATTTCTACAGCATTTATTCTACTCTCATGCTTCTTCTGCCAGACCCAACTTTCACTACCATACATTAAAGTAGGGACTAACACTTAGTTGACACATTCTGACTCCTCATAATAGCGTGTAGAGCCCCATTCACTCTATTTCCTGCGTTCACTCGTCGTTCTATATCCTTGTCATATCTACCATCCCTGCTAAATAAACATCCCAAATATACAAACTCATCCACTTGCTCAAACAACTCCCCTTCTATTCTTATTTCACATAAAGTTTTACTTTCTTCTCTTTCAAAAACCATCACTTTCGTCTTACTTGCGTTCACTTTCATACCCCTTTCTTTCAATGACCAATTCATTAAAGTAACCATCATTTGCAACTCGGCCGCCGACGATGCAAATATGACTTGATCATCGGCGTACAAAAGGCATTTGACGGTTGACTCACCCATTCTCAACCCACATTCTTCAACTTTCAAAGTTTGCAAACAACTGTCCATAAATAGGCTAAACGGGGAACCACCACGGGGAAGTCACACATCCCTGTCTGACACCTTTATGAATGCCAAACCAGTCCGAGTAGACCCCGTTGATCCTGACTCAAGCACTAGAGTCTCTATAAAGAGACCTTAATGCCTGTATCAAGCCAGCGCTCAACCCAAATGAGTTCAGTGTTTGCCATAACACATTCCTGTCCACTCTGTCATAAACCTTTTCCAAGTCCATGAACGCACAAAAAACTTTCTGGTTTTTGGCCAAAAACTTCTCCGCTATCATGCGTATGGAAAAGATTTGATCAGTACACCCCATCCCCTTTCTAAATCCAGCTTGCACATCCCAAATTTTTCCATCAGTTTCTTCCATAACTCTTTCAATTAACACCTTAGCATACAGTTTACCCACAATGCTAAGCAAGCTGATACCACGGTAGTTTTTACAGTCCTGCTGCGACCCCTTTCCCTTATATATTGGGACTATTACGGCTTTGCACCAGTCTTCCGGTACCCGATTCAGTTCCCAACACAAATTAAATAAGGTGTACAGCAGGCATGCAACTACACCCTCACCAGCCCTTAGCATTTCGAGTGATACTCTATCATATCCGGCTGCCTTACCTGCTTTCATGCTTTTCATTGCTTTCATTATTTCATCTACACTTATCTCCCTACCTTTCTCCACTTCTTCCGAAATTTCTATTTCACTTATTTCAGACGACTCTTCACTCTTAAACACGCTTTCAAAGTATTCCTTCCATCTCTTTAAATTCGAAATTTCATCATTCAACATGCAGCCATTCTCGTCTCGTATAGCATTCATTCTAGGCTGTTTTGAATTTCCCCTGGCAGTTCTTACGAACTTCCAGAACATTTTAATATTTTCCTGGAAGTTATCAGATATCCTTCTATCATTTTTATCTATCCTTTCTTGCTTTTTCCTTTCAACAACTTCTTTTACTCTCTTATTTAAACGTCTAAAGTCTGCCTTTTTTCTTTCAATCTCATCATTCATACCGCCAGATTTACCAGCTTTAATCAGATAGGTAGTGACAGTAGCTCTTTTCTATTGAAAGAATTTACTTGATACGAATTTACTACAGCCATCCAATCAAGGAGAGATTCCACTTCGGGATTGGATGATATTCCATACAAACTTATTAAAAATCTATTTTAGGATATTTAATATGCTTTTGGACAATCTATGTATTCCAAAGTCTGGGAAAACGCAATGTGTGATACCTATTTGGAAACCTGATAAACCAGAACATGACTTCAACTCCTACAAGCCAATTTCACTTTCCTCTTATGTAGGAAAATTATTTGAATACATGTTGAAAACCAGACTAGACTATTACATAGCAGCAAATAATATTTTACCTGGACAACAATTTGGTTTCCGGAAAGGAAAAAGTGCAGCAGAGAGTTTTGCCTCTTTGATCTCCGATATAAATCATTATTTTACCCGACATGCAACTACAGTTTGTGTTAGTGTGTTCATTAGGTAGTGTTTAGTTACCATGCAGGGTGCTACTATATATCCCTTGTTCTCTCTAATTATATTTACTTATTAAACATGTATATAATATATATACATGTTTAATAAGTAATAGAAATATAAACTTTTTGCAATTTGCTGATGATCTCCTTGTATATACTGTAAATAAAGATGTAAATATAGCGGTAAACAATTTAAATTTAGCATTAGAACAAATTCATGATTTTTATTCAAACAAGTTGAAATTAAACATTAGTTCTAGTAAAAGTGGAGCTCTCACATTCTCCAAAAAAAAAATAGTTACAGAAACATTTTTTTAGGTAATTGCTTGATTAGAAGCTAATTTTCCAAGAACATTTTTATAGGATAGGGTGACAAACGAGCACATAGTCCACCTGATGGTAAGTGATTGCTGTGGCCCATAGACATCTACAAGTATTCTCGTTTGCGAATCAAAATGCAGATGCGTTGTCACCCGTGAGGACTAAGATGGAATGCCTCTTTTCCAGTAAAACGGGTCTCCAGTTCTTTAAGTTAACCATACCAAAAACAGCAGTGTTAAGCTGCTATTTTACGCTGGTATTCTGTGAGAGTGTGATCCTTCTCCGGTCGAGCCGACCCATTCGTGCTACAACTATACTACTAATATAGCTGCAGTATGGCTCTACCAAGTATATGATAATATCATAACATGTAAATAATCTATGTAAAAATGCCTGTAATGTATTAAATTAGTTCATTAGCAGGTGTGCATTGGGGAGCTGACCCAAAGTTGTTATCAATGCTTTATAAAAGAGTATAGTTCGAAGTTATTTTGATTACAGAACATTAGCATACTTAAATGCAAACAAATCGATTTTAAAAAGATTAGATATAATTCAGAATAAAGTGTTGCGTAAAATAACTGGGGCTATGTGCTCTACACCAATCCATGTAATGGAAGTAGAAAGTTGTATTCCTCCACTTTTACTAAGAAGGCTACAAATTGCTGAACGGTTTTGTGCTAAATTAATCAGTTCAAAAAATGATTTAGTTTAAAAAAAACTTCCTTATGAAGTTCCTGAGTGTGACAATATGAGCTATCATCAAACTCAGGAACTTCATTATGTAAATGTGCTAAGGATTGTTTTATACTCACAGACCCAAACCAAAAATATGTATCAAAGTAAACCATGGCCTTTATATAAAATAGAATATGATGCTTAATTACAACATTAATGTTTCTGTATGCCAAGAAAAAGTGAATTCTCAAATGGAAATGTTAAGATATCTAGCTGATAATGATTTTTATACAACTTATACAGATGGATCAAAATCTGAAGAGTACACAACTTCAGCATTTTATGATTCGCAAAAGAAAATATCAAAAACTTTTAAAATTCACAATTTATGCTCTATTTTACAGCTGAATGTTATGGAATCTACTTATCATTATTGTACATAAAAAAAACATTGCAAATTCACAGTTTCTAATTGTAACTGATACAAAAAGTGTTATATTAGCTATTGAATCTAACAAAATAGATTACAAAAAAAAACATTATATACAGGGTATTTTTGGAACGCTCCCGAAAACTAAGACAGGCGACAGCACCAAGTATACCTTTGATCATGGGTTACAAATAAAGTCGATCCTGATGAAAAAAAAATCATCTTTTAACAACGTTTTATTAGCTTTATTCACGCGCCATCATGTTAGTACAGCTAAATGAAACGATAATTTCATAAAAAATATCATGAAAATACTGAAACATAAAACCAGCAGTGGAAACTGAATTGATATCACCTGACTAATGGAGGTTAATGTACGCGCGAACGGTGAAAAACAAACGCTGGCCTTGAACTTGGGCACTGAGCGATTTATCACATATTGGTACGAAAGGCGCGCGACGGGGGAACAATCCGCCAGTATTAGTGTGCCTGCATGCTATTGGTTCCCGCGCTTTGTTCGCTCCAAAAATACAGTCGCATACACAGCTTACTTTGCGACTCGCGACGATGTTTTAAAAAGGAAGGAAAGAAAAATTATTTATATCTATTGTTTTATGACTAAACTAGTGATCGAAAAGGTAAATATGATAGGAGAAGGTGAATGGGGAAAATTGTGCAGTAAAGTTAAAAGTGTGGAGGAAGAATACCGAAAAAATTACCATGTGATCGACCTGATGACGGAAGCTCAAGCGAAGATGAAAGTGATGATCAAGTAGCATCCAGTAACACCAACACACCATTAACATCTGGCTTCCATGTGACCCAAGACGTCATAATGGACGGCGTGTTACCCTTAGCTAAAGTTTTCTTGTTACAAACTACTTTATATTTTACGATAGAAATAACAAATAATGCTCATGTAAACATTATCCATTTTTAATTCCCACCTCTTCCAAAGTTCTAAGTAGCTAGTAAAACACCTATTATGATTCTACATTAAAACAATTAATTACTATAATATTATAAAACAATAGCCCAATACCATGTAGTACTTTAGAACGCGATTGTACCCACACCCCCTCCGCTATCGACCTGTATCTAGCTCGGTACGAAACACGCGGTCGTAAGAAAAAAGGGCGCATCTAACAATTTATGAATAAATGAGTTAAATATACCATTCGATTCATGATAAGAAGGCGCATCTACTAAATTTTTTTAATATTCACAAATATCAATATTTTAGAAATTATCGTAAGAATTTTAGACGTAACTGTTGATCACAGATGACTTTTTTTAGTAGAAAAGACTTATACAAATTCAACATAAAAGAAAAGACTTATTTAACCAGTTGCTACGTCATCTTTAACAATATTTGCATCGATTACTTAAATTTCAATTATTCTTGGTTGTCTTATTATTCTATATCTTATTATTAAGAGCTTATATCTTATTGTTAAGAGCTGGTGTTTCACATGTGGTCCCATATAAATTTGATCGAGGTCAGACCAATAGTTTTTGAGTTATCCTTAATTATTTATATTAAAGTCGGTTGTACAAAATTTTTAATTTTTAATTATTATCGTAGTAAGTCTTGTATGATATCCCCTTTAAAATCATTACTTTTTAAAATTATTATTTTTTGTGTCTCACTACCAATGCTTTTCTAATATTTATTAAAAAAAAAAGTAGTAAATTACTATTAGCGTCCTTTCAACTTCAAATGACCTTTCCAAAATATGTAAAATTGTTAAATGAGTGGCAGTTTTTTTTTAATTTATTAGGTTGGAAAGACGCAAATAGTTATATGCGTCTTTCCTTCGATGTTTTTGTGTTGCCAGGTGTATTTTTTAAGCTAAGATGAAAAGGAAAATTCGTTTTATTTAAATAAATAAACAAATTAAAAAAAAAATAAGTTCGTCCTTAAAATCTTCATGTCTCTACGTATATATTTCAATATAGATACCTTTTAATATACTTTAGACACGGGGTCTGAAAGAAAAATTCATCAATTTATTTTTTATTTCCATTTTACGTTTTTGTTAGTTACTTCCTTTTTTATTATGACGGCAGAATGCCTAACCCTGTGCCCTGTCGCCTCACGCTTGTGACGCAGTAATTTTCAGCCTTGACGGGGTTCGTTGGTTTTAGTTTTTGAGACAGTTTTGTGTTGATTTTGTACACGCGTGCGCGAGCGACAGTTCAATCGTTTTGTTTAATAAATTTACTTGTGATTACGTGTTGATATTAAAGTTTTTGTTACGTTTTTGGATTCTTTTTTGTTTTAATAATGCCTAACGCGTACGTTTATAGTATTATACTGCCGTTGGTTATTATATCAGCAACAACGTGTGCCTGGTTCCATTGAGCACATTATATGGACGGATGAGTCGACATTTACCAGAAACGGCCTGTGGAACCGAAGAAATACACACGTGTATTCAGAGGTTAACCCGCACGCTGTTCGACAAACCGGGCACCAAACCCGATGGTCGGTTAACGTATGGACAGGTTTATTTAAGGATCGCATACTGGGACCAGTGTTTCTGCCAGAGCGACTGAACGGACAGCGATACCTAAACTTTATAAATGAACAGTTGGTTGACATTTTAAACGACCTATCGTTGGCTGAATATCGCCGCACATAGTTCCAACATGATGGTGCCCCTCCACATTTCGTGAGGTTCGTCCGTGAGCGCCTCAATGAGCTATTTGATGATCGCTGGATCGGCAGACTAGGACCACACGCTTGCCCACCTCGCTCACCAGATCAGACTCCGTTAGACTTCTTTTTGTGGGGTATGTGAAAGAAAGGGTTTTTAATCGTGAATGTGATAGTGCTGAAGAAATGCGCCAAAGGATCGTGGATGCTTTCGAGAAACTACGTACGGACTGTGTCGAAGACCACACGATGATGCCCCGCCTGCACCCAAGTCTGCCTTGAAATGAATGGAGCACAATTTGAGCCGCATCTCATAAGACCACGGAGGATTTAGAGCAGTAAGCTGTTTCATAACTATTTTTTTTAAATAACTTAGTACTAGACTAATCTGAATAGGTACATAACTGAATACACGAGAATAATAAACATACCTACACGATGAATAAAAACGCATGACTCCAACCTTGGTTACATTTCATTTAAGTATTTCTTCATTAGCGGGGAATCGAACCAGTTATTTGGGTTATTTAACCTGTAAATTCGGATTAAAGTGGCTACGTGGAGATAAGCACAGTGGCAAAATAGTAGGTTAAGTAGATAAGTTAGGTATTTAGACACGTGTTGTAAATTATTAGGTATTGTTGGAAGGCCCGCTAGTTGCGGGCCGCGCGAATTTGTGTTCGCGCGTACATTGACCTTTATCTAGCTCAGGTCAGGTGATATCAATTCAGTCATTCCACTGCTGGTTTTATGTTTCAGTATTTTCATGATATTTTTTATGAAATTATCGTTTCATTTAGCTGTACTAACATGATGGCGCGTGAATAAAGCTAATAAAACCTTGTAAAAAGATGATTTTTTTTTCATCAGGATCGAATTTATTTGTGACCCATGATCAAAGGTATACTTGGTGTTGTCGCCTGTCTTAGTTTTCGGGAGCGTTCCAAAAACACCCTGTATAATATAAGAAACTTACTAAACAATCTTAATGAGATCACTCGTCAATGCTGGAAATACCATTTACAGATATATGCCTTGTTAAGCAAGAACTTGAGATTCTTATGGAAGTCATACTGGGAAGAAATAAGCAAGGCCAAAGAAATTTGGTATTATGAAATACAAAAAAGCCCGCCAGCCACTCCTTGGTACAACGAAAATATTAATAATAGAATTTTTTATAATAGGATTAAGAATAATTAGAATTATTAATAATAGGATTAATAATAGCAAATTCATTACCGAATTTATTATCGAATGAGATTTGTACATAGCAGAGTAGCCGCCCACCTGCATCGTTTGGGAATGAAAGAAAATGCAAATTGTGAATATTGTGGTGCCACGAAAGGAGAGCTAAAACATCTGGTTTTTCAATATTGTCAATTTGGTTTGATTAGATTACTCCTCATTAATTCCATTCAAAATATTAACAATGATACAGTTCCTGATACTCTTAAAAGTCTATTAGCTGATGAAAAATTCATCCGACCATTATATTCCTTTATTTCCGGTGTGCAAGATATATAAAAATAAAAGCAATAAGTGCAAACGTAAACAAACTCTTTATGAATCATTGTGAAATGTAACTGAATTTTTGATGAATGTATTTTTCGTCACTTTTCAAATTTTTAATGATAAATATACATTGTAACTTCAAGCTCAGAAGGGCTAGAACCCAGAGCCGTAAAAGCCAGTTTAAAAAGTAGTGTAAAGGAGGCATGACAGCTGTTGTTTGTCAAATAGTATTTCCGAAGTATTACGAAATAATTGACATTGACAGCTATAGAATAGTAATTACAAATTAGAAGTATTATTTATTCTAAGTATAATTAGTATTTTTTTCGCAGCACAATAAACTTTATATAGTTACTAGAATCCACTATAATATATATAATTAGTCTTATGTTCTGATGGTGTTCTTTGATTCCAAGGATTAAACTACTCATACACAAATCACAATTTTATATATTAACTAATCCACTGTTATGTTCAAAAACATATCTGACCATGGACGTGGATAATGTACAGACAGTCAGAGATACATTAGTCAACACATTAACAAAACAATTGAGTGAATTCGACTTATTAAAATCTATGTATCCTAGTCATGGTGAAATTATATTAAGTGATTGTAATGTTGTTGAAGATATAAAAAGCTTTGTGGATAATAAATCCTTTTCTGTACCCAATCATCTTGACTTTGTTTTGAATCTAAATCTTGATGGATTGAAGTTAGAAGTCAATGTTAATTTACCAAGTCTTTACCCTGATAAACAACCAGATGTGTATGTAAGGTGTAATCAATTAAATAGGAAACAAGAAACTTGTCTAAATTCAGACTTATCACAGTATATAAAGAATGTTCACCAGAATGAAGTATGTTTATATACAGTAATATCATGGTTGCAGGAAAATTTTGATTCATATAAAACTAAAACAGAAGATGGTCCACAAGCACAATCCACGCTAGAAAAACAAACAGAAATTACTTTTGTCAGGCTATGGATTTTCTCACATCACATTTATAATAAATACAAAAGGGAGCAGATTGTTAAAAGATCTAGAGATTTAAAATTAACTGGATTTTGTCTTCCTGGAAAACCTGGCATAATATGCATTGAAGGTACTAATGAAGATTGTTTGGAATGGTGGAAAGACATTAAAACAATGAATTGGAAAAAAATATCAATAAGGAAAATGGAAACGTTAGACATAAATGTAAGATCAAAACAGCAAAAATTCAAAGACTTTCAAGAAATTTCATTTAATAATAGTAAAAGTGGGCTTTCATCATTTATTGATGAACATAATCTTAGTCTAGAGTTCAGTGAATTTTTAGGACTAAAGTGTTAGTTATTAAAAATTATATAATAATTACAAAAGATGTTCTAATAAAACTATTATTAAATTCTAAGAAAAAGTGGTATTTTATATAACATTAGGGATCCCCTTGACAGAGCCGATTTTTGGACCTTGACAACAGCACAATCTACCAGGTCTAATTGTAAATCTTAAACTCTCCAAAGACCCACTCATATACACACAAAAAATTTCATCAATATTGGTCATGAGATTTATGAGTTCATTGACAAACACAAATACAGAAGAATTGTATATTTATTTATTTATTACAAATTGTCATAATATTAGTCAAAATGAATATGATATATTATCTCACACTTGGGTTGCTAATTCAATATGCTCATCTTAAGCACTTTTGTAGGTATTCTGCTTTTATTAATATTTCAAGCATATCACACGATTTACATGTGTTTTATTAAAGTAAAAGTGTAAATTAAACTCTGTTGTGAATACTTTGCTGTAGATATTCTTTTTTAAGATTAGTTTTCCCTCTGGTTGGCACTTTTCTTTGAATAAGTCATACATTTTATTGATAGACAGCCAGACAGATTTGCCAACTGACAGTGAGTGCTGATGTAGGTTGAGAGTAGCTATATCAATGAAATCATACAAACAAGTACAGTGCAGCACTAATTGCTATGTGTATACAGCTATGTTGCTCTGACGAGGACCGTCAGTCAAGCTCGTCGATCCAGTGTTCGTCGGTCGATGGATGCACTATGGCGATATATACACGCGTTCTGTGCGACGCTGACCGAGCGACTGACCGACTGACCAACCGTACACACGTATGTAACATTGCAAATACTATGAATATAGATACCGATCGCGTTATTTCTGAGGTACTTCTTCGGCCACCACTATGGGACCTCTCTTGCAATCTGTACAGACTGTGATGCCAACAACCAAGTCTTGGCAAGAAGTTTGTCAAGCATTAAAACTCAATTATAATGATATCTCTGATAATGAGAAAAACTCACAGGTAGTAAATTAAACGGCATTATTGTGTTTTATGAGTTTATTTTCAAACCCATTAGTTAAAAATACTAGCATCTTGCCACAATACCATACCATTAGGAGAAACGAAATAGTTGGAAAATCTATCATGTATACTATATCTATGAATTTATCCCTTATCATATTGCCTGATCTGATATTATAGTTCACATTGAGATTTAGATTTTGTAACCCTTCAATAGTTAGTGTCTTCTACTCTGGTGACCATTCCGTTTCGTTATGTAGTTATGTATAACGCCACAAGCCTTTATGACTGTTATCGTATTTGGCAAGGAAGTATTACAAACATACAAACATTTATTTACTATAGGTGTTACAGATTCCTCCCCTAGACATGCCCTGTGCAGGGCATGTATGGGGGAGGAAGCAACGGCGGCCCACGTGCTACTGAAATGTCCGGAGGTCGCTACATACAGGGTTAAACATCTCGGCACACCGGGATCACTACCCGAAGTTGCATGCAACATCAAAGGACTATTGAACTTCTTCGGGGAGATCTCATGGCTCTAATAATTACATTATTCCTGCCCACACGCAAAATACGCGCATAGGCGTGGTGTTGCGGAAAACACCCCGTCGTAAACAAAACTAAATTAAGGGAGTATTAATTTTTGATTCAATTGCAGACTCAATATACCTCCAAGCAATCTATAGTTGTTTTCTTTTGTGTCTGGCCAGATTTTAGAAAGCTGTAGTGAACGACACGGGCGCTAGTCCACCAAACAATCACAAGTAACATTTTCTGAGTCAATTTTCGTTTAGAGCAGGATTTGGCTGGGTCTCCAGGGTTCAGCCATTGCGACGAGCGCATCCGATTATTGCACAGTATCCACTGTTCATCACAAGTAATGATTAGATTTAAAATCCCTTCATTATTGTGTCGGTTGAGCAAAGTAACACAGCGGTCGACGCGTGTTTGCGAGTTCGAATCACTCAATTCATGAGGTACCCATCGTTCAAGTTTTTTTACTTTCCCGATTTGCTTCAAATAGATTAATACAGTTTTATAACTTACCCCGAAGCCTGCAGCTATCTCTGAAGTGCTTTGTAATGGATCCGCTTCCACAATAGCCTTTAATTCTTCATTTTCCACTTTGGTCTCCGGCCGTCCACGGGGTTGGTTCTGAAGGTCGAAATTTCCAGAACTAAAACTTTGAAACCAAAAAGTTACCGTGCTTTCTTTTGCGACACCAGCGCCGTACACATCATTAATCCTTCGAGCTGTTTCTGCAGCACTGGTGCCACGGTAGAACTCTTACTCGTAAATATACCGATATTTCATGTTTTCCATTGTGCGGTAATAAGCGACGCCAAAGAAAAGAATAATGAGGAAAAAACAAATGAATGACTGTTATCAAAACTCAAATGTACAAGCTAAATGAATTTATAAATTTGAATTAGGGATTCTTAATCAAAGTGAAGATATAATGCTAATTTCATATGTAAGGACCTAATAATATGGAAGTGGTTCTGTGGAACCTAATACCGTGTGGTTTAGGTAGAGGTAACATTGTATTTCAATCATGTAATTTGGTGAATAAAGTGCTTTCCTTGAAAATATTTGAATCGAAATTTGTTTCGCGTCCACCTACATTTATATTGGTAAACCGATATTCAGTATCACACATGGCCAATAGAACAACAGAATAATATATTTTGTAATTTGTAAACAAATTTCCATTATGTTCAGGACAGATTATTCTTAGGTGTTTCCCGGGAAGTTCGCTATCTTTTCAAAACCAGCAGCCATTTTAAGCCAACTTTCCTGTGTATTCGGTATCTAAAGGCATTCTACGTGAAATATTTTTACATACTTTTTTAAGGTTCCGTAGTTACATAACAAGGAACCCTTATAGTTTTGCCATGTCCGTCCGTCGGTCCGTTCATCCGTACACGGTTGTACTCAGAGACCCTAGGTGTTACAAATCTGTAATTTGGCATAGTTATAGATATTAATCACGCTACAATACTGTGAAATAAAATCTTAATAAACATTTTTATTTTGGGTACCTCCCTTCCCATACAAGTAAATGGAGGATGTTTTTTTTACCCGTCTACTCCATCGTGTGAGGTATTGTTGGATAGGTCTTTCAAAAACACATCTTTTCGATTCAGGAATCCGTTTGCGAAATATTTAGTCCCCTCCCCCCACTCTACCAACTAAACCGCTGATTTTGGAAACGTAAAAAAAATACACGATATTAGTATACAACACGTAATATAATTAACGCACATCCTGATAGTAGTTTGTTCAGAATCGTTTACTGGATCGATTTCTATCATTTTTAATATAGGTAATTTTTTATACAAAAATAATTTAATGTACGTAATTTACAGTCACACTAAACCTGCACAGTCAAAACAAACTGAAAAGAACCGTAACTCAAGGCACTAAGACTTTTAAAACAGCAGTTTTATTTGTATTAATACAAATTCGTCATTCAATAAAAATAAAGAAAATTGAACCTTATTTCAAGTATATTAAAGTCTTTATAAATATAGAGTTTGGAGTGCCTTATAAAGGTCGCGGCGGCTAGGCCATTGACCTCCCAGATCAGCTAATTTGCCTCTTGCCTTTTTTATGGGGACGTATTAAATCATTACTTTATTTTAGTGAGACAACAAGTGCCGTGTACCTAAAAATAGGATAGTGAACGCTTTAAGAATAGTGAAAAATGGCACTGAATTGCTTTCTTAATTATTTTCTTTCTTTTTAAAAACGTAACCTCCACACTAGGATTTTCTCTTGTATTGTGGGGGCAGTTTACAAACATAAATTGCACAAGGACAAACATCCAGACCCGGAACAACTATTTGTAGGCCATACAATGTTCCGTGCGGGATTCGAACCCGCGTCCCTTAGCGCTGCTACTCAATTGCTAAGCCACTGCGCCACGGAGCCATGGTGGACATTTTGAAAGTGTATTAAAATACAACGTTTCATGAGAGTTTAGGCTATCACTAACTTAAATATTTGATTCTTAAAATTATTGTAATATTGATTCACATCTTTTAAAAGAGCCGAAAGTCCAAAGCCTGAAAAGTGTGATGGAAAGATGCAATCAAATGTTTACTAGACTTAAATAAACTACTCAATGCACGGAGTTCTGACATGTGTTAATGTTCATAGGTAGGTATTTCATTAACGTAACCAATCATGTATTGTCGGCACTAACACCTACCTACAGTTGTGTCACGCGGCGGCGGGGTTAACTCGTCTCGAACGCGAGCGAAAACCTACTATGCTAGCAAGACCTATACCTAGCTTTCGTGGTTTTGTACGGTGACCACAACATTCTTCCGGAATCAGTATAACTAATTTAATAAATAATCAATGCATAAACATGTTTAACTAAGAATTCAGTGTATGTATTATGATTATAACATAATATACTAATTAGGGTGTCTGAAAATGAGCGTTAATTACGTTAGATGTTGTATATAATGAAGTTAAAAGGAAAACTATCACAGCTAAGTAGAATTAAGAAGTTAACGAGTAATAGTCGACCAACTTATAAAATGCACTTGCATTAGTAAAAATGTCGTTACAACTCCATAGGAAATTACTTAAAACTAGCTGCATTGTAACTTTGTAATGTTATTGTAAACTTTAAAAAATAAACATTATATGAAGAAAACGACTTATATGCATTACTACCATATAGCTTTACTTTTTCACTTGCGGGATAGGCAGAGAGGATCTTTCTTATTTACTTACTACTTTCACTTATTTTTTAGTTGGTAGTTATTGTAGGCCTCATTCAATGTATTCATACAATCGTATAGCCTCATACAGTTTCATTCGTCACACATTTGATTTACGCGGGCGACCTCAGGATTATTTAGGGCTGTGGTGGTTTTTGCGTAGTGAAGGTTCGTTATGTTTATATATGTAGGTATATCTTAGGGTTGCACTGCTGGGAATAGTCAACTATGATCATCTTTGTACTTACTTGGCATGTGAATGATTTGAT